AAATAAAGTGGTAAATTTTAAAAGAGTGAAGATTGGCTATCCTTTAGGAGATTATTAAAATTCTACCACACATTAATTAATTCAAACAAATAATAAATAAGGAGGATAAAAAAATTTGAACTTAGGCCTCATTGCCCAAATTCATTCCATTGGGCTTTAGCCCACCTGTCCTATCTAATTTCAAATGTGGACTTGGGCCCTTTCAACAAATTACAATACTGCAAAAAAACATTTTGGCCCCTTGGGCCTGTTAAAAAATTGCTGAAGGGCCCTGGCCAATTCTAGAAAAAAAGATCATGAAGGGTATACACAAATGTATACGTGCTGTATACAGTATATATTTGACCCATTTGGACCTCTTGAGCCCTGCACCTATTTGAATACATAACTTCTGTTATTTTTCCCTGTATTGCCTGCGTATTTGTACCTGTATCCTTTTTTAAACTTACTTAACAAGTATATATCGTCGCCCGATAATGTATACTAATGTATACAGGCTGAACCCTACGTCCGCATTGATTGCCTAATCCCGAATTTTAGTTAAAATAAGTGTCCCTGTACGTTCTCCTGCCAATCATATTTTTTAAGCATATCTATAGTATATCGTTCCCCTATATCTGTGTATACAGGATGTATATCTGCCTGTTTTTCAACTTTCGGAAGTTGAAAACTCCTTTTCAGGAGTGTAATTTCCCTGTCGTTAACTCAGATTTCGAAATCAGATCCATCTGTACGCCTTCGACCTGTATATCAGTGCACAACTATGTATAAAACATGTATACTGCTGTATACATGCTCTTCAAATCCCTGCAACAACTTTTCCAGCAGTTTCTGCTGGGTTTTTTTCGACCTGTACATCCTTTCAAGGGTTGGCTGACTCGAAAAAAGTATTTTGAGCCTTTATGGCTCAACGATAAGGTTCAAGGAATCGGAGTGAGGTCCGTGAGGACTCGAGAATGGTTTTACATGCGAACAAAACAAGACAAAAGAAGGGAATTAGGAGGGTAAAATTCAATATCACATTATAATATTAATGTCACTCATAAACGAAATAACTATGATAAACCAAGCGATTTACATCAATCAAACCCAACTAGAAAGCAAGTCGGAGACGAAGCGAGATATAACTTAAACAAAATCCAACAAACTTCGGCTATGCATGCTGGAATGTATGAAAGCGACAGCCTATAGCTTCATCAAAATTTCAAAAAAAATAACACTTCAAACTCAATAATGCAGAAATGGAGCCATTAAATACGAAGGAAGTGAGCTGCAAAACATATATTGTGTTTGTTTTCTTTTTTTTTTCTTTGAAAAGAAAATGTAGACAAGAAAAAATGACATGGAATAAGACAGCCATATACTCAAACTTCACGTTAATGAACAATCGTTTTCAAAACTTAGGAACCTTGATTCCACAACTCTTAGATATGAAATGACATAACTTGCCGCTAAACTCCAACAACACCTTCAAGATGAATACATGAAGACAATCTAACAAATGATACAAGAATCCAATTCGAACTTAAATACTCAACGCTAAACACAACAGCAATCAAAGCAAATGACTGTATGCGAGCAGTTCCCAACTCGAACCTAACAGAGTTGAAACATACGAGAAGAAGAAGAAGAAAAGACGACATGGGACTTCGCCCTCGCTAAAGAAACAGACTGATGCGCTCACTGATAGAACGAAGCTGATTGACACTAAACGAAAAATTAAAAAAAATTGTCATGTCACATTCCATATTCAAGTACAGCCAAACGAGGTATAATGCCTCATATTCACAATAATACGAACCCCTACTCGATATTTTAAGCAAACCACATACTGACCACGGTGATGCAATCAAATATTATTTTTTTTAACATGAATGAAACTTAAAGATAGAAAGCGACGAGAAAATTAAACAAATCACAGAAACAGATTGCCACACTTAGAAGAAGCCATCTCAGAACGAAAAAAGCAAGGAAATCGTACGAAGCAGAGGATTACCTCTTCGAGAGCAGCAAACTGGAACACCAAAGAGCTAATGACTTCACCACCTCGAATTTAGTATCACCGGAACGAGAATGCGATATCTTGATCGAAACTGAAACTGAACTCTATTTTTTTTAATATCTTCCGTATATAACTCCTAAAGCTTTATCGATTTCTCTTCGCTATAGCTTTACACTCTTATCTCTTCGTTCTTCTACAACCAACAAGAAAGAAACCAAAGTATTTTCGAGAATACGCAACCAACAGAATAACTAGAATTTCTTTTCCAAAATTTTCCAACCTCCAAATTTCTAACCAAATCCTCCAACCCCGTTTTGAAGAGGGGTGGAGTTTATATAGAAGAAACTAGGGTTTCGAGGGAGAGGGGCTGGATGGACAATTTGAGGCCCATTTCGAATTCAAATTTTAAATTCCTTTCCCTTAACGGAGCGACACCCTTTTTCTGAAAATTAGCTCCATTCCGGCAACGGAAAGGAGGGAAGGATGGTCGAGATGAGTTCGGGTGTCCTTGCGATGCGACGTGTCATCATCTTGTTATCGCTAGGACAAATATGCAGCTGCAAGGACGATTTGCAGTCGGCTGGCAAAGTTGAGCACTCCAGCCTACTCTGCTGCGAACGTACATGCGAGGGAGAGGGGGATGGACGCGTGAGGAGACGCGGGAGAGGAGAAAGAGAGGGGTTCGTGCGTGAGTTCTGGGTTGTTTGGGTTTTTTGCGTCTGGTACAGTCCAATTGTGGGAATTTTGACGTCTTCTATTTTTTTGAAAACATGAGGAAGAGGGGAAGAGGAAAGGGGGGACGGGTCGGGTTGTAGAAGAGAGTGGGCTGGGTAGAGAAGTGTATTGGGCTTGGGGTTAATTTGTGGGTGAGTTTTAAAAGAATTGGGTTGGAAGTTTGAGGTGGGCTGCTAAAAAACGTGTGGGCCTGGGAGTTGGGCTTGAATTTGTGGGCTGCTGGGAATGGAATTAATTAAAATGGGGAAGGTGATTGGGTTAATTTGACGAATAACCAATTAAAATGACGAATTTTGCATTAACCAATTAACGAGCTTTTTTTTTATTTAATGAAATAATTATTAAAATCGTAAAAAGTGATTCAAAAGTGTAATTATAATTTAAATTAAACTAGTTTAATAAAACATTTAAATGTATCTTTTTGATGGTTTTTTTTAATAATCATAAGATATACTAATTATATACATAATTATGTAAAAAATATATTATCGAAAATTATGTTAAAACGTATTCGAAGTAACATAAAATTCATGTATTATATTATATTCGTAAAATTTTTATAAAACTAATTAATTTAAATTATTTGGAAAATTTAGGAAGCTCGATAATTAACTTATACCGACACGGGTCAAAATTGGGTGTCAACACCCATAAAAATACTATAAATCACAATATTTAACAAGTTTAAAATTTATAAGACATTTAAAATTTGAATGTTCTCGAAATTCTATCAGTACCACGTAATTGAGAGAGCAAAAGTAACATATATTATTTGAAAACTACGTAAATAGTATTATAAATCACAATAATTAACAATTTAATATATTTAAAAGACATATAAAAGTTAAGTCGACTCTTGAAATTCTATTACTTCAATATAAAATTGAAAAAAAGGAAGTAACATATATTACTTGAAACTGACATAAAAAATAGAGATAAGTATTAAAACCACACATATAAATTATCCCTTTTTTTTTTAGTTTCACACCTAAACTATTGATAGTATGGGTTTCATACCTAAACTATCACTATTAGTTTGAGAAACACACTCCTCTCATTTATAACACTCTCATCATTGTGTGTAATATAATCTCTCTTTTTACATAATTTAAAAACTATGTAAAAAAACTATAAATTACAATAACTAACAACTTAAAATATTTAAAATCATATTAATAAAATAGTCCTAACTAGGACGACTAAGAACATGTTTAGCATTACTGCTAAAAACTGCTAATTTTCAGAAGCATTTTTTTAAAAGAAATTTTTCAGAGAGGTGCTTTTGAAAAAAATAATTCGTGTAGCTAATTCATTTGAAAAGTGTTCTTCATAAGCAAATTGTGTTTGGCTAATCTTGTTTAAAAAATGCTTTTGTGAGTCAAATTATGATAAAGGAAAAGTATTAATGTACTTCTAATATTAAGATTATTTTTAGAGAAAAGTTAGTTTAAACATCTATTACAAAAATTAAATTAAATGTTTATTAAATTAAATTAAAATGTTAATATTTAAATTTTCAATCAATATTATACATTTTTTTTGAAAGGTTGAAATATTTAATTGTTATTTTTTCCTTTTTCTAATCTTGCAAAAATATTATTTTTACTTTTTTTAGTTCTGCGAAATAATATGCAAAATAATAATACATAAACATAAAATAAAGTATTATATAAAAATGAAAAATAAAATTATTGAATGAAACTTAACCAAACATATAATACGTTGGTTTATATATATATATATATATATATATATTTGTTTTACTTTTCATTTTATTCCAACTTTTCATCTACATGAAGATTATAAAAATTTGTATATTTTTAGTTTAAAATCATAAGATTGAAAACTTTTCTACATTTATTAAAATTTCGTATCAAATTAAAATCTAAAGAAAACGATAAAGGAGTAAAACAAACAATTTCTCTTTTGAATATTTGTCAATTTATATAACTTTTCTGTGTGCCATCAAATTACTTGACAAAAGGAAAAAAAACAAATGCTGACATGGAATCCACGTAGACTCAGTAGGACACACTCAAAACAACCCCAACCACCTAGAACCTGACAGCATAAAACTGTCACAACTGAAGTTCGTTACTGACAATCTAAAAAACCGATCATATCAATATAATAATTTGGCAATATTTTCAAATATAATTACTACACACTTCATAATTATCAACAATTTTCTTTCTAATCCTAGAATAATCAAAAGAGAAAATTAAATTGTCAAACAAAACGATTGTTTCCTTTTTTTAATTTTTTATTAGGCTTTACATTTTCCGTTCTTTCATTTGAGGAGATATGTCAGATCCAAACAATTACAATGCAACAGGTGTACCAACACCAACCGCACCTCCGTGCTCTGTAGACACGGAGAGACAGACTCCAGCCACCGGAGGTGCACCGAGACAAACTCCTCCTGTGGCTGGCTCTGGGATGGGACGATTCATCGAGAGATGGAAGAGAGAAGATATGTTGAAGAAGGGTTGTTTCGGCTTACGTTGTATTGCTTTGTTTTTCTCATTGTTTGCTTTCATAATCATGGCTAGTAATAAGCATGGTGACTGGAGAGATTTTGATAAATATGATGAATATAGGTACATAATTCATGAAATTAGCGTTCGATCATAGATTTATATTTTGAAAATATATCTGTTTGAACATGAAAATCTTCAAATATTTTCGAGTTTCTAAAAAGTGTGTGTTTTTGGAACTTCCACTCACCAAACTTGGATTCTTTTCAAAAGTAAAATGCACATCCGAACATACTGATCAGAAACTCAAATATTCAAGTTTCAACTTTAAGATCTGTGGTTTCAACTTTAAGATCTATGGCCGAACGGGAGCTATACTAACACGCTAACTTCGCCTTGAGTTTTTGTTTTTGTTTGTTTTAAGATCTTTGTTATTGAATTGAATTTTGCGATGTTGGCAAATGCAGGTATTTGCTAGCTATAGCAATTCTATCCACATTGTATACAGTATCGCTACTGCTGATACAAGTGTACCAACTTTCAACTAACAAGGAAATATTTTCGCGGAAGAATTCAGCCCTCATCGATTTTTATGGTGATCAGGTTTGTGATTTTTCTTTACATAACAAAACTGTTAACTCTTTGAAGTGTGAACTATTCATTGATTTGAAATCGCGATTGAATTACAGTTGATGGCATACTTGTTACTATCAGCTGCTTCATCTGCTGTACCGCTGACAAACAGAATGAGAGAAAACAATGACAACATATTCACAGATTCTTCAGCAGCAGCAATCGGCATGGAGTTTATAGCATTTCTAGCTATGGCAGTGTCAGCTATCATTTCTGGATATAAGCTTTCGAAACAAACCTACATCTGATAAGAAAATATTGTTTCATTTTTTATTCTCTACATTTCCTTCATTTGTTACAAATTTATCGATATTTCATTCATTGAAGAAGTCATTCTCTCTGTATCTTGCTCTGTATTGTTCGTTTTGATAAATCAATTAGTTGAGGTGTAGACATTTCCATGAGCTTCTAGAAACATCATATGCAGACGAAGTCAAATCTGATTTTTGCATCAGTAACCAAATGTTGATACCAAGCGTAGGACAATGCTTACTGATAGATGTAACTACTCGCGTAGAAAGTGATCATTTTAATAATGCAGTTTATTGTCAAAGTCTAGAAATGAACTCTGGTATGGTTGGTGGAAGTTTCCTCTTGATTTATGGTTAAGCAAAAATGAGAAACTCTGAGGGATACGAATGAACGGTTACTTGTAAAGAATGAATATTCAACTTCACACGAAAAAAAATATATCAACTTTCAACCATGAAACGTCAGTTCCACCTGAATACTAAAAAAAAAAATCTTAATGAGAAGTTACAGATGCTAAGAAATCCAGAGCTCGGCTCGAGACAAATAAAATAATGGACTAACTCTTATTTTGAATCGTAAAACCTAACTTTGTATTCTAGAAGGGAAAAAAAAAACTATCATAAGTTACAACGAATACAGTGACTTGAGAAAGAAATCTCTATCTTTTGTATTTTGGTATGGAGGAGTTTCAGTTAAGGAAAGAGCTGAAGAATAAATCATCTTTGGGTTCTTCTTTGCTTATCGGCTTGGAATTGTTCGTGTGCTGCATTTGATTCATGTAGGATCCCGATGAGTTACCAAATCCTGAATAACTTGAAGTTCCAGAGCTCTGTAGCATCTGGAGGGTGATTGGTGGTTGGATCTGTGTTGTGTTGAAAAATGTGTCGTTAAAGTTCATTCCCTGATTAGAATGGTTAGCCAACACTGTAGGCCTTGGAACTACTGGCATGCTATTGTTGTTGTTGCTTCCAGATGGAGGTTTATTCATTGCGTAGCTACCACTACCACGTGCTGCAGGAACATCATGGTTGTGTTTTCCTTCATAAGTTGTGATAACGGCTCTTAGATCATGAGATGCTCGTTCCACATGCTTCCTAACCGGACATCCAGTAAATGTGCACTTGTAGTAACTCCTATAAAGACATAACGAAGACTCACATTTAGACTTACTTTTCATTCAAATTTTCAAGGACATGATCTAAGAGATTTATGCTAACTGATCATTCAATTCTTTGTATAGTAAGCTGTAGTAATGAGAAAAACAACTAATGTTATATGGTGTAGGGATTGCTAACCTTGGGTTCGGATTTCCTTTGACAACTTTTTGACCATATTTTCTCCATCTATAACCATCATCAAGTATATCAATGTCACTTGTGGTTTGAACTACGATTCTAGGTTCACGTACTGTTCTACTTGCAGATGATATAACCTCGTTTTCATTGTCACCCTTCCTGAAAGGACAATTAACACAACATAACATTCAGATTTCATATCAATTAGTATCAATAAAAGCAAAACATTTGAAAGATTGTGTGTTAAAACGTACCATCTCTTTGCCTCGGGTTCATTTTCATCATTTTCTCCTGATTTACTGATAGGAGAGCCTTGATCAACATCGTCATCTCCAAAAGAAGCTGAAGAATTGTCTGTAACAGCAAAGGAGTCTCTTTGACCATTTTCAAGAAACGCGTTTGGCTGATTTGTTACATCCAAGTTGGAGTAAGCAAGGTTTTGAATCGATTGTGAAGATGATCTTCTAGTGGATTGAGGTTTGGGATGATTATGACTCCCTTTATAAACTATCTCAGTAATGTGTCCATCCAAGTTCCTTTCAACCTTCTTCTTTGTAGGACAATTTGGAAATGTACACTTGTAATAACTTCGCGGATTCTCACTTCCTTTCACTTGCTTTTGTCCATATTTCCTCCAATTATATCCATCTTCCGCCTTCTGTTCTCTAACATATTGCGATGGTTGACAGTAATGCACCGGAGCAGGATTATTCGACATGTTCTCTTGTGAAAAGCTTTGAATTGGAGCCACTTCTGATTTCACTCCAGTTTTTGCTGTTGAGAATTCAGTGGTCTGTTGTTGCCTTGTCATTAAGTCTTCCTGTTTAAGTCAATTAATTATGATTAGAGAAAGAAAAGAAAAGGCAATTTGTGGTTTGTTGGTCTAACAAGACTATTATTAGTATCTATATTTTATTGCAAATTGCAATCTTGCTTCCATGTTATGACCAAGAAATGCACAACATAACTTCAAACCAAATATTATAACTTGCAAATTAATGTTTACTATACTGTTCTGTTCATTACTTCAACTTCAAAACTTAGAATTTCGGAAATTAAAGTTTTAAGTTCAGAACTTATTAGATCAGTATTTGGCGTGAAATAACAATTCTCACTTACAACAAGTCATTCATGTCCAAACAAAATTTTTCTGTTCAACTTCAAATTCAAAACTCATTTCTAACTTCCAAATTGTTTCATTTTTATAAACTAAAAACTTTGCAGCAAAGAGATAGACATGTTATGGAATTGGAATATTTGAGGGGAATATTCTTGGACAATTGTAACTATATAATAACCGTCAATTAACTTGATAAGTTTGACATTTCTTTTAATGAGGTAAATACTAGTTTACTTGTCACAACTCAATCAATTTGATTAATTTTTGAACCTAAATTGAATCAGAATAGACAATACTTTAAATTCCAATTACAAATATTTGAAAATCTATACGAAAAATATCAAAAAAGTTCCAACCTTTTTGATATTACATCTTAAAATATCAATCAAAAATTAGTATTCGTTCCGTTTAACTCTGAAAAAACCGAAATATGACAAGTAAAAAGAAATAGAGAGAGAAAAATAAGTCGAAATTTCAAACAAGTTCATACCAATGAGTTTCTTGGAGCAGAAGATTGGAAGATTGAGGAAGAAGTAGCAGGCCTACTTTGAAAAGAAAATTCAGAATTGCCCTCTTTAGAATTCAAATTACCAAAACTCCCTGTAGTTGGCGATGAAAGAGTCTGTTCAAAAGTAAAACAAAATCAGACGATAACAAAAACGTATATTTTTGAATGGTTTATATGGTAAAAAAAACAACTTACATTAGAATTGTTGAACAAAACGGGCGAGTCCAAAAGCATAGATGGACTTAATGAATGCGGAAAAGCAAGATAAGAGGAAGGCGAAGCAGGTGATGTTGATGAGTTCATCATTGGAAATGACTTACTTCTATCCTCGCTAAATCCCCAATTCTTATTATCATTATTACTATTATTATTATTATTATTATCCGAAAGAAGATCGCTAAACGAAGAAGTCATGAATTGAGAAGAAGAAAATGAGTTAAATGAATTCATAAAAGTGTTCATATTTCCACCTGAAGAAGCCATTTAAAATTCAAACTTGTTGAAATATAATTTGAACAAAAAAAATATATTAAGAGGAAAAAAAAAAGATGAGTACTTAGATTTTATAAAAGAAAAAAATGGGGTTTGTGGTATTTGTAGTTATAAAAATTTTGGTGTTTTAGGCATTTTCTAGGAAGCTAAAAGGTACTTTTGACCGTGGAATATTTAGAAATCTTTTTTTCTAGTTTTTGTGATAGTCAAACCTTGTGGATTTGACCAATTCTCGGCGGCTCATTCAGAAGGGAGCTGAGTATTTATCCTCTATAGTTAATAACATCGTACACCCACATGACACATACATCATAACAAAAATCTTGCATATATTTATTACCACGTCGCGTTTTACAACACATCCAATAATTTAATTTTGATACATAAAGAATGAAGAGAGAATGCATATCATTTACTTATAGATTTTAAAAAATATCATCGACTTGCTTTTCGAGAGTCAAACAGAATGAATACGATTGTAATTTTTTTATTATAGAATATTTAAAATTTAAAATATTAAATCTATTTAATTTAATATAGCTCAAAAGATTAATCAAATTGATTCTTTTAAAGTGAATCGTGATAACTCTCTCTAATATATATATATATATATATATATATATATATATATAAGAG